TAAATTGTGGGAATAGAATTACAGCACATTTTTCAGTAAGGTATTTTGGATGCTAGCTATGCAGAAATATGAGAGTGAAATAATAAGAGTAAACCCACTTACCTTCATGTAGGTAATTTTCACTGTTTCTTGCAGCTGATTTAGTGAAATAACTTTTCACAGAGAGGTGCTCAGTCTGCACAAGACATGTTCTCATATAAGGTGCTTGGGTAGCTGTGCTTACGGAGAAAGATCTAGCTGAGCTTAGCTCCCCATTGGAATACCTTAGTTAAGGCAAACCAGTTTCTACAGCCAAGAGCAAACTCAGATTTGAAGTGTCTGCTGCAGCTCTGGTCATCTTTGGCTGTTCCATCCCAAATATCTAGACACCAGTTGGTCAAGGTAACTCTTAGTGTGGTTCAACAGCAAGACTGAAACTCGCACCTCTGGCTTCTGAGGTACTGCTGATAAGGAACAATTTTGAACATTGATCTCATCTAAAAGGACAAAGACATGACACCTAGCCTAACATAAATCAGGAAAGCAGCAGAGGAAGTAATACACCAGTCTTAGGAATATTGTCAATTGGAAGAAAAGTGGACATCGATGTACGATAGAATACAGAGGTTTTAATGAGATTAAAAATAACAGATGAAATCCTGATGCTTCCAAATTGGATAAAGATTTTCCATTGCCACTGGTAGGGTGAGCATTTTTGGCAACTATATTTTGAAAATAAGCAGCTGTTTTTCCTAAGCTTGTCAACCTGAGATTGTGATTTCAGGATGAAGCAGGGATCTAAATTAATTAAAATGAGAATTTGAAGTTAACTGCATAAAGCATTTGCACGGATCTTCCCTATTCAAAATTAGACCTATTTAATTAAATTAGATTGCCTTAGGTGCCCTTTAGTTCTGGTTGTGGGGGTTTAATGCATTTAAACTAATCCACTTCCAGTGAACATGGAATAAATGTCCTGATTGTCACTGTGTACCCAGTCCTCACATTGTATGTAGTAGGGTGATATTCTGGCAAATGGTGGACAGAAGAACTTAGTTCTCTAGATATTACCATTAAATAAATAGTAGCCAGGACGTCTTCATTTACATAATAGTGCATGCTTTAGATGAGGAGAATATATATATGCATGTGTCTGTGAGACACAAGAGAGTTGCTGTGGGGAGAATATTGGTCATGTAGGGTATCTTTTTAGTGCAAAACATTTATTTAAAAGAGCTTAAGAATTAAAATGGTTATGATGCTTTTGCAAACCTGTATATTGCTGCCATCTTTGGCAGCTGCATTAGATTGATTTGTCATTGCAGCTAGAAGGTTTTTAGATACAAATATGCACTGCAGGGGCAGAAGGAAATAATAACTTTCTGTGTTCACCTCTCAGCATCCCCTTCCCAGAGAGGTGTGTGGTGAGGCCAGGGCCAAGATACAGCACATCTGTTAAAGCCACTGCTGAGGTTTCCTAATTTCTGGAAAATGGCTACTAGAAAATTCAGCTATGCTTTCAAATATCTATGCCAAGCCTGGTTTCCCAATAAGGTAGCAGGAACTCTAGCTGACTATGAAAAAATGACAGACACTAGACTCTCAAGCAAGCTATCATTTTTAGAGTATCAGTGGCCAGTACCTGATGGGTTGTTTTTCCTTCATGTGAATCATTTTGATTATAAAATAGGATTTTTCTGCTAACTGGAAAGTGTATCACTTAACTGTTCAAGAGTCTCGTTCTCCTCCTCGTGACCCTAAAGCATCCTTTTGCATGTCAGTAGGAGGTATTCAGCGCCGTGGGTGTTCTCATTACCACTTGACATTTTGCTGTTTGGTTTTCTGCCTGTTGCTATTTAATGATTTGAATTCTTTCTTTGCCAGTCCCAGAAGCCATTTAGCAGGCGACGTACTATTAGTGCTACTTAACAATATCGACATAGTCACTAGGAAAAGAGTTTCATTTCCTAACAGTGCTACCGCATTCCTTCTCGCCATCTGCTCCTGCCATGTCCCTCATGGTTGTGTTTCCCAGTTAACCCTTTGCTCTGGCCTCCTCGCTCTTGGGGATGGTGGCACAGGCTCTGCACAGCTTTGCCTGAATGATAAAATCCCTCTGAGGCTAAACCAGACTGCAGGTCACTGTAATGGGGTGGGTGAAGTTTTTGGCTGAGGTAATTTGGTGTGTATTGGCTTTGTAGAGGCACGGACAGAGAAATAGAGTAAGCATAGAAAGCATTGCAGGCTTTCTATCCTTAGCCTACTGTTTATCAGAGGCACTTCACAACTCCTGTTAGTGTCAGGTCTGGATGTCTCACAGCCTTTAATGTAATATCTCAAATAAGACTGCAGAGGGAAGATACTGTACCTTTGGGGAGAACAAAGACATCAAGATTGAGGGTGATATTCATCTCACTGAAGTTAATCTACCAAAAAAGAAGATTGCCAGTTGATATTACTCATCCATGCTTCCCTCTCTCCAGTGGAGAGGCAGGCATATCTCTGAAGGATGATATATATGTGACTCGAATTGCTGGGCAACCCTTACTGTTAAGTGGCAAGTAAGAGGCTAGACTAAGAAGGATGCTCAGCTTCAGATGAGCTCAGGTGGAGGCTGGACAAGTTGATGGTAGCAAAATTCTTTGCAAGTTATTAAACCCATAGCAATAGCATCTGGCTTACGAACTTCTAAGGTGAAAACAGTTGGAAGCTGTGAATTGTTAAGGGGTAGTATCAGATACACTTGTCTTGTGCTCTTAGTCTTTCCCAAGCATCTATTTATGGCCACTGTTGGAGCTCACGCACAAGGGAGATGGACTTTGTGTCTGACACCATGTGTCCATTCCTGTGCTCTTATGTGAGGCCATTTTAGCAGTGAGAAGGGGGGAAATACACATTTAGTAAGAGACAATTTCTGCAAATGGAAATTGGCAGTAAGCTTTATTTCCAGATCTGCGGTGAAGTGCTACTGACCTACAAACAGCAAAACTGGAAGCCAATTTTACAGAAAGAGCCTGTGCCAGGTGCTGAATGTCAGGGCTTTATATCAGGTCATCGCAAGCCTTTCGGAGATTCAGATGAGCTGTTTCACCATGTGTTCGCTTCAGATGGTGCAAACAGCTTGTTTGAGCCATAGATGGTACGAGGAGATTCAGATCTGACATCATTTGCAGTATGGTGTGTAGCTGTGCTGCTACATGAATGCTCCCTGCCTCTGTGACAGCACCAGTTGGACTAACAGGGTGGAAGCTTGTCACTTCAAATAACTCATTGAGAGCACAGATTGTGTGGCCCAAAAAACAGGTATCACTCACCAAAACAGTGCTCATGACCTCCCACCATCTTGGGCACATACACATACATGTGTACCTCTGTATTTTGGATGGTTGTTCCAGTTGAAAGGTTTTGCAGAATTGACCATCCTAAATGGACCCTCCCTTAAACCATTCCTTAAAATGGTTTGCTAAGGAGACAAGCACCTCAGATTGAGCATTTTGCTGCCAGTATGGTAAATATATGCCCATCGTTTGCAGCAAAGATCTTTAACTTCTGTCTCCATAGCTGTCAAATGACAACATCACTGCAAAAATACTTGTCACAAGTGTTTGAAGTCAGAATTGCCTTTCATGGGAATCTACGTAAAAAAACTAACTAAACTGAGCAATGTTTTCCTTGTAAAATCCCAAGACATAAAAAAGTCCAGTGGAATTGGATTCAAAACATCAAGCTGAGCTTGTGAAATGGAAGCTTTTGCTCTCTTTAAAACACATCCTGTGTTGAAACTGGCAGGAAAGTCTTTGATGCAGGGGGAATGTATCAAACTTAACTTTTGCAATTTCCGGTTTGGTTTCTTGCAAACTGCTTTTGTCTAATCATATTTGATTTCAAAGATAATTTTATTTAATGTGGATTAGGCAGCATGACATATCCATTGTGGTCTTTCATCATTCCCTGTTTCATTTTGAATGTGACATGGTATTTTCTACTACAGATGAAATTTGTTCAGCAGTCAGCTTTGAAAGAAGGTCTTGTCTTTTATAGCTCTGTAAGCTGTTATGGATAGCAAGCAAAAATATCTACTTTATTCTCAAGCTTCTCACATTCTTCACTCTAATTTATAGATTTCAGCCACCACTGTGGAGACGACAGGTGGTTTATCCTCAAATCCAGTCCTGTTTAGCAGTCGCCAAAGCAGCACACAGCGAGAAGGGGTGTAGTTTGGTACCAAAGGGAGAGGTTACTGGGAGAGTCAAAATGTGATGTGGGAGTTGAAGGACAAGGTGTTAAAAAATACAGATTGTTCAGCCCAGTGAGTATTGGGCATGGTAATTTAGGACTGATTTAGCAGCCTTCTGTGATGTGACTGAACGAAAGGTTGGTTCCTCTTACTCACAGGCCATGGTGACTTCAACAGTACTGTTGAAGTTATAATGGTACTACTAGTAGTAACTATTCTACTAGTATAACAGCAGGAAGATTTTTTATTTGTTGTTACAGAGCCAGAGGGTTTCAGCTGAAGAAGAAAGCCCTATTGAGAAAGGCAAAAAACAATAATGCCAAAAACCCAAAAGCACTTACAAGTAGTGTGTGAAACAGGAGATTGTAATTGGATCTAAAGGTTGGAAGGTGACAGCAGCAGCATGGGAACCACTGTGGGGAAGGAAAGGTTGGTTGGTGTTGCAGCAAGGGTGTGTTTTAAGGAGAACCTTCCCAGACTTTTTTCAGCTTTCCTTGAAACACTGGAATTCTACCAGATCAGAAAGGAGAGTGTAGGTAGGATGCACTGATGTTGAGGTGTTACTCATTGCTCAAGATCAAACCAGTCATCAACACAATGATGGAAGTTTTCCCTTCTGGTCAGGCTGGCAGAGATTTGGACATAGGGCTCTGGTTGCTTTTTTCCCCAGATTTGGTCTACTTACCTGCTACAATCCTCGGGGACTTTTAGTTACTGAGTACTGTAGAGACTTGGGACTTGAGGATACCCACGCTGCTCATGCTGTTCCTGCAGTATGTAACAGTTGCAGTTCCTGAGGTTGCTGAGCAGATACTTGGATTTTTACAGGGTTTTCAGCAGTGTGTGTCCTGAGCATTTATAGATAAATGAAACAGATGTTCTGCAGTGAGCCAGGCATGCTTGTTGGCTTTGTGCAGTATGATTCCATTGCTGGTAGTCACAAAACAATCGTGTTGCTGTAAACTTACATTTCGGTATGTGAGTGCTTTGTGGATAGCTGTATGTCTTCTTTCTAAATGCATATAATTACTTAGGTGGACTTGGGGCCTTTATGCTAGCTCTTATGTATATTCCATGTAATACACATAGGTTTTCTGCAATAATATTGATTCTAACAGAAATGGAAGAAATACTTTGAAGTGTGTATCTGTGGTTTTCCTGACAGGTTAGCACTGTGTACATGAAATCTCAGTAATTTTGCAGGTTTGCTAGTGGTTGCTGTTTTATAATGGCTTTGAGACAAAGCAAATACCGATACTGGCCATCAAACTAATTTTGCCTTATCTTTCTTCACAGCTTCCTGTTATGGGAGGAGCCTTTATGGACTCACCCAACGAGGACTTTAGTACAGAGTACTCCTTGTTTAACTCATCAGCCAATGTCCATGCAGCTTCTTCCGTGCAGAATCCACCAGAAGAGACATCCCGTTCTTCAAATGATGCCATATTGTTATGGATTGCAATAATAGCAACAATTGGAAATATTGTGGTTGTGGGAGTTGTGTATGCCTTCACTTTCTAGGATGACTGTCACTCCAAACACTGGAAGAGAGGATAACTGCAACAGTATCTGTCATGTGTATGTATGTATGTATGTGTGTATATATACATGTATATCTATATAAATACATATAGGTAGGGACTTTGTTGATTAAGTGCTGCCACAGTCATGGAAATCAAATGCAAGTTAATCATCTTGAATCTTAATGGTGGAAAGTTTGGATGCAATTGCAAATTGTATGGAGGTGAGAGCTTTAATTGAGAACAGAGCCAATACCAGTTTTGTATAGAAATGTAATAAAAGAGAGACCAACATGGGTATAGTAAATACAAAGCGAAAGTGAGATTTATATAGAAAGTGCTTATTTTCTACTGTTTAGCTTTTTCTAGCAGCTGTTCTGCATTTTGTCAGCTTTTTTTCCGTGCATTTTTTACTGTAGTATAATGTTGTATGAAATTGTTCTATGTCATATTTGCTGGATATCTTAGTTTTCCAGATGGACTAAATAGTCAGCATTGGCTCAGTTCTGATGAAGTACAAGTTCATTGTGTCAGCCCCAAGCTCGTGCATACGCTACTAGGCTGTGTTCAAAATCACGAGTCTTAAAGCTATGACAGGCAGATGCATGCTATCTAACACTTGCCTTCCAGTATCAGTTACGGGATCTGATAATCGATGAATCGATGCTAAACTTGTCTGCTGTTTGCAGGAAGAGGCACAGCTATTGCAAGGTGTGGCTGGTCTGCAGACCCTCTGCACTCCAGAGGAGGTGATGGTAAACAGAGCAGCAGCACAAGCCCCCATTTCTGGCTAGAGGTACTGGATTGCAGTGACAGCAGTTTGTAGATGTGTCCCTTCCAGGAAACAAAGGCCAAATATCATGCTTTTCAGCTCATTTCACTGTAAAACAGATTTCCCACAGCAGCCATGTGCTTTCATAAGCTTATTGGTGTATCAAAAGAATGTGGGGAAATTGCGAAGGCTAATTAACAGTGAGTGATGTCTATGAGAAAAATAGAATTCAAAGAAAGATTGGACACTTCTGTTCTCGCAAGGGAGTGCAAGAGTCAGGTATCTGCTGGGGTAGAAATAGCACAAAAAAGGTAGTAAGTGACAGATATGCAAGTGCTTATATTTCAGTACTAATATTTCTCCGGGTTCTGATGAGGCTCCTGGAAGTGATTTTTATATAGCCTGCTTTAGGTAACAACTCTGATTATTTGTTCTGTTGAGGGACAATATTTTCACTGTTCCCATGAGCAGTTCGTTTTCAAGAGCTGTATCTTTTCAAAACAAGCTGCAGCCTCCCTTGCTTCAGAGATTACAAAATCTTGAGGGAAGAAAAAAAAAAAATCACCTCTGTTGGAAATCTCCCTCTTCCCCCTTAAAAAAATAAACACAAATACATAAAGCATCTGCACTTTGAGAGTAGCAGACACATTCTTCCTCTGAGTCTGCATGTACTGTAGAGGTTTTCTGTCTCATACAGCTACTACCCTAATTCCAGAAAGCCTTGTCTGCAGGCACAGAGACTATTTTTGACACTTGCCTGCTGCTGAGCTTGAGGCTGGACTAAAGCTGCCCAATGTATAGAGAGGTTTAGATTTTCTTCTTTTCTCTTTAAACCCATTTGCCTGCAGAGGTGGTGGACAGTTACTTGAATCAAAGCAGCATGCCCCAAATCAGTATTTATGACCACTCAGTAGTCATTGTGTGTATTTTTTTCCCTCTCTATGAACTGGCTTTTAAAGCTGGAAAGATGCAAACAGAGCTAGCAGGGGGGAGAAAAGAAACTGAGTTATTTTGAGGATGAGAAAAACAATGACAACTCACTTGAAGAACTGAGCTTCCATGTGTAGTTATTTCCCTGTTTGGAGGCAGGATTTTGTGAAGATGGTTCAGGACAGATGAGATCTGTGCTGGGAAGAAATTTGAGAAGCCCAGTTCTGGAAAATCAGTGGGACAGAAAGCAAATTCTAATAGAATAGCTGTAGTGAATGATACAAAAATTATGATTTTCACTGTCCTAAAATAGCTATTCATTCCTTTATAGGCAGAGGATAATAAAAACCAGGAAATCTGCATAAATTGTGTACCTTTCCTGTTCTTACACTGATCCTTATTCTCACTGAGCGGAAATCAGGCTGTTAAGTGAGGTTGGACGGCTGCAGAGAAGTTTCCAACACAAAACCGAACAGGACAAAGTCTGGTGTACGACCATGTAGGACCCAAGGAAATATTTCTTAATGTAATCTACTGTCCCCAACCATATTCTAATATTCTCTTCCCTTTGCAATTTGTATCAATTACTCATGGACTTTTCTTCAGTGATTCTGTAGGCTCTCTAGTTATGCCAGATCATGCCAGCACTGGTTTTGCATGAAGAGCAAAGTATTTCCACCATGATTAATACCAGTTTGACACTATGCTGCTTGCCCAATGGGATTATTCTACTGCTTAATGAATTTGCCAGCAGAGTGCTTTGTTTAAATTTCCTAGAATATTAATCTAAGTGCAATTAGCAATGTTTGTGTTTCTCTCCCAAAGCATTGGACTAAATTTTTCACTCATGAAGAGCTTTAGAGTGGAAACAGCAAAGACACACCACTCTGCTAATGAAACCAAATGACACTTTTGTGTGGCTTTTCCCAAAGAAAATGCCCTACTTTCATGTGAAATTGATAGCAATAGCAGGAGTGTTGGAAAACAATGAGTTCTGCCTCCCTCGTCCAGATCATACATATTTTCATCGTTAGAGGCTGAGTTGTCAAGAAGGACCAGACAGAACTTTAATTAAAGTAATTGGCTTGACAGGGTGGCATGGCAAACTGGGTGCAGGCAGCAAGTGCAGGCATTTCCTGTCTCGTAGTTAAACTGCCAACTAACCGTGCAGCTTTTCTGTTGAGAAAAACTTGTTTTAGGATGCAGGTGCAAGGGTATCACATGTGAGACTCTGTACAGAATATTGTCAGGTGTATTAAAGAGCCCTCAATCACAGTGGGCAGAGCTAGTTCAAACTCTGATCTACTTTGATAGTGATAACATGCACAGCATGGTTTTGGATGTTGTGTTCTGGCTTCATCCACTACCACCACTTCCATCTTCTGGGAAGTCAGGGAAGGTTTAAAGTCAACCATTGAAAAAGGGGTCTCATCCATCATTAAGTTGGAGAAGACACAGAGGGGAGCAGAGAAGTGGATGAGCGGTGGATGTTTCATATGTACAGTCCTGTGAAATGTGTTACTGCTTCTTTACGTGGGTACATGTTACACCCTGAACTGTCAATGGAGCTTGACTTGGAGCGCTGTAGCTTCTCCATTCCTTGGAGCCAGGCAGTTGGATAACTGCTGTGACTCACTGAGGGGTGAGGAGGAAGCCCAACTGCATGCCCCACAGCTGTTCTCTGAAGCCCTTCTGTAAAAGCAGAAGAGGGCTCTGTGCTTTGCTGAGCACGTGTGTGTGTATATATATATGTATATATATACATGTATAGTTGTGTATATACGTGTATATATAAACACACATATATATACACATGTATACACATGTATACAAATGTATCAGCATGAGAGCAGGATTCCACTTAAGGAAGATCTGTGCTTCAAATAAAAGCATCTAGCACAGAAGACAGTTACAAATCATGATTGGAGTTTGTTCTGTAGTAGGCAAAGCAAAACACTTTCTATATGCAGTGTTAGACCTCTAGCTATGTTGTAAACTCCATCATACAAACACAAGAAACAATACTGTATGTGCTCTGCAAAGTTATTGAAGCAGGGAGACAAACTGGATGCCCTAACGAGTCTCTTCTAGCCATGGCCTCTAGGGATCTGTAGCAACATATCAAATAATCAAACTCTCGCTTAAGAAATTTTTTGCTCTAAGCAGCCAGCAGTTCAACACGGCAACTGTGCAGCCACCACAGCAGGGAGACTAAAGGCTCAACAATTATGCAAGTGGGTGCAAAAGCACGTTAGATAGGAGAACTGAGTGGGGAAACCCACACAGCTACTCCTGTTATATTTTTAACTGCAGAGCTGAGTTTGTGTTTGTCCACAGCATTAACATCCTCCTAAAATAAAATGAGGGAGGAGGATGTATTTCTGCGTCAACACACATGCAAAACTGAACAACAGATTTTGAAACTGATGCAACAACAGCAAAAGAGAGACTTGTCTGCTACAAATAATGTATTTAGCCATTTCAGCAGGCAAGTGAGGTAATAGATACCTCGGAAGTAATGAGATCCCCTCTCCAAAATCCTTGTTTGTAATGGGACTTGAGGGCAGTCAGCATCCCAGCAAACTGCTGAGCAGCCTGTAATAAGTCCCAAATCAAGAATGAATAGAAGCAGCCAGCCATTATGGTCTCACCCTGTACATCCATGTGAAGATAAAGGGAAAATGTGCCTTTGTGCCTAGGACCAAATGAAAACAAGAGCCCTTAGTCTATAGGTTGTTATGTATTTTGTCTATTATTGGAAGCTTTCGTTTTGCTATTCTCAAGCAATTCCAATTGTTAATATCCTCTTCACATTTCTCTGCAGACTGCTGAGAGTTATTAATTTCACATAGCTCTGTCTTTGTCCGTTTATCCAGTGTAATTTGACTGGGTTTCCTGTGGCTAATCACAGAGCAGAATCTGGAAAATTATTCTTTTTAAGGATGATTTCCACTGTTGAGATAAATAGGCCAAAAATCACAATCCCAGATCAAAATGCTTCTGTGATTTCAGAGCATTCAGAGCTCTGGAGAATTGAATTTCATCTGGTTAATGTGCAGAAAGGAAAAGGGCAGTCAGGTCCCTGGTGATAATGTCAGACATCAGGGTTCTGACAGGCAGAGCTGGGCGCTTCATTAACTCCTGCTCTGCCCCTCTGAGCCCTGCTGGCTTTCTGGGGACACAGCCTGAGCTGAGTGTAAGCGAACTAACCATCAGGTACAGCATGTCCCTCCTAACCTTACAGCTTGCTAACCCTCAGGGTAACAAGTGCATTTGTTCCATTCCAAGAGCCAGAAATC